CTTGCAAACCGCACATGCGAACAATCCTTTTTCAGTTCGGATTCCTCGTGACTCCGAGCTAGAGGCTGGCCTACTGTCTTAGCCAAACCAAATGAGTAAAAGCAGGCAAGCACAAAACTTTCGTAAATGCACTTTCCCGATCAATCCCTGAAGCGCTTTCGACGGCCAGCTCAAGCAACCTGGCAGATGTTTGCCTAAACGTGCGGCTTTGCGGCTTGCCGCCACTGAGAAACCTTGGCTCACGATAGCGCGGACGAAGCGGCACAGTAAGTTACTCTGAGAACCTTGTCAAAAACTGACTTGGCGTGCGTGTGCTTTCGGCTGCAGGAAACCGGAGGCAGCATACACGACTATGGACAAGCAGTTCACGCACACGACCTTCCCACGCAATCAAGGTTACAAATGCTTTGCAGACAGTGGCCATGTTTACAGAACCAGTGGTGTTCGACAAACAACGCCTTGAACCAAAGAGCTTTGCACAACCAAGGCTCTAGACCAAAAGCCTCTTTCACAGCCTTTTTCAGGAGGCCTTACCAACCTGAAAACGACCTCCCAACCCAACGAAGCTGTCATGGCCACGGATATTTTTTGCGAACTTCGTAAGACCACATCAGGAGTCGCTGGTGTCGCGACAACCCAACCCACCAGCACCCAATATGATGTTTACCGAATCACAGACTCCTTCTGAAGGAAAATAAGAGACCCCAGTATTGCAGGCCCTTGCTAGAATTGCGCCCTCAAAGCCAAAGTTGAGCCAAGGTGCTGGATGCAAAGAGTCATCTGACGCGGAACCTGCCCACTAAAAGACCAGGCCAGCAAAAAGACGACTGTTTTTACTCAGTGGTACTCAAGCCCAGAAAATTCCAGGGGCTCCCTCCCTGGCAGCGCCTTTACCAGGGTGATCATTTGCTCCGGCTCCTTGGCTAGAGAGCTTAGAATCGCAAAGCTGAGGTGCTGTGTTGCAGGTGGGAAGAAGCCTAGACAGGCCCCGCGACGCCCAAAGATACAAACAAATCCTAACGGTTGTATTCGGTGTCTTACGCTGCAGATGCATTATATAGTATTGACATGTATGGACAATAGAGTCGCAGCATTCTTGCATGTGCGTAGGTGTGCATATGTGTGCTGTCGCCCTTCGAGAATTCGTCGTCGGACGTAGACCTACACGAAAACAAGTTACAAGTGCTTGCGCCCAGTGTCTGAGCGAAACTCAAAGGGTTTCTGTCCATTTTGGAGGCGCTGGCTGTGGAAGCAAAGCCTCAGAAACGCTTGCCGCCAGCAGCACTGCTGAAACATGCCTAAATATGCTCAAAAGAAGTGCGGCTGCTGCCACTGCGTCTGCCAACAGTGCTCCCACTTCTCCGTTCTACTATGACGACGATACTACGAGGACCGTAATGATTGCTCTGCTTTTTCCTGCGTCTTGCACAGGCATCAGCGGCTCGATTGCGGAGCAAGCCTGTGCCCTGCAGGCCAGTGGCTGCTGCTCTTCCTCCGGGATGTCAAAGGACTCGAAGATGCGCCTTGCCCACATCTGCGAGGCAACTGGTTGGGATGCACACGGCGTCACCAGAGGGTGCGCAAGTGACAGAGAGAGACAGAGAGCGAGAGTAGCGAGGCGAGGTTCACGGAAAATGTTCACGACTTCAAGCTGCCGCATTCGTGGGCACTGATGCAACGATTGAGAACCGCAAGGAAGTGCCTGATGCTGGCAGCTGCCAGTCTTCGAGTCTTCATGAGCCCTCTGAAAACCCGTCAGAAGCCCAAGGAGGCCGAAGCCGAAAACTCTGCGCTTCTAGCCTCTTCAACTGCTCCGTTGTGTCGGCGGAGGTTGCCTGTCAGAAAACTAGCTCGAAGTCGAGAGCGTTTTGGATGCCGGACATGCCAACATGCAGCAAACCCCATCAGCACCCCTAGCAAAGAGCTACACAAGTTGCGACGACTGCATGGGCAAGACCTGCTGTTGGTGTGATTTGGTATGGGTCCACCCTAAGCCCGCGTCAATGCAAGCTATCAGCAGAAGAGGCTCTGCTTTCCTGGTTTCAGCATCCGAGCATGGCCGGTATCGAATTTGCATGTGCTGGGACCAGCAAGTAACGGCTTCAAGCCATCGAGTCTGCGAAGAAATAGGGGTTAAGAAGCCGAAGGCCATGCAAAACGAATGCTCGCCCTTGCCAGCCGTTGTCAATCCTGAAATTTTGCATCCACAAGTGCTAACTTATCAAGGCCTTGGGAGAAGCCTTACAGCCCTGACCAGCCGTGGTAATTAAGCTAGAACCTTTCTAGGTTCGAAAGTCGCTGCAACCGAAACCTCCTGGAGCTTTGTGCTTAACTGGACCGCCCGACCAATCTTGGGCCTCAAGCTTCCAGGTCTCTCCACTGATCCGCTGCAGGATCACTGACACCTCGGTTCGGTTGGAGAGGCTGACGGATCACGGTTGACACATGTGGACTGGGCGGCGAGGAGCGCTATAGTTTCCGAGTTTCTTACTTTCATACTTTGGTCACATCAGTATGGCTGTCAGCGTGCTCATACCTTGCAGGAACGCTTGAACCAGATCTAGAGCGACCGCTGCCGTGGAGGCTGAAGTGCATGGCAGGAGGCGGGTCGTGGCTCGGGTGCCATGAGTTCTAGAGTGTCCTGCGCGCGATCAAGGCTTGAAGTAAGTCACGTTCTGAGCAAGCTTCTTGGCTGTTTTGATTGGAGCGGCTACGGCTCCGGAGATTCTATGACATTAACACACATACAGTCTGTGATTCTTCCTCTTGTAGCTGTTGCGGTGGCTCTTCTCGTCATCTGTACCCGATGGCCCAAAGGAAAATACTGTTCTTGTTGCCTTCCCACTCTGACTGAACTTCTGACGAACCTGATAGCTAACATTTGCCTCATGATTCTGGGGCCAGAACGTCCTGCAAATGCAACAGTCATTGCGCTGCTTGTTGCTGTGGGCTGCTGCTACTATATACTTGCACTTGGGGTCTCCGATGATTCAGCGTTGCACGGCGACTAGGAATATCTGCTAAGTCCCAGTGCCAGCTGTATTGCTGTTGCTGTCGGAACAAACCACTTCTGACAGATATGTCCCGCGATGCCACTCTTACTCTCCCTCTTCCACAAACGTGAGTTCTTCTGAACAACGCAACGACTATTGTCCGAGCTGATTACAGGCATGTTGAGCGGTGTTCATCCCACCTGCCTACCTCCCGACTCTCCTAAGCTGCCGAGCCGAGACATCACCGACCGACCGACCGTCGGGCCTACCTACCACCTACCTACTAATGACCTCCTCCCGCTCCATACCTACTCGTACTCCTACTGCTGCCGCTGCTTCCCAAAGACACCATCGTCGATTCGACTTCGCTCAACGTGCACGTGACCGACCAAGCCGCAATTGGCTCCATTGGTCGATGTCAACTGAGATATCGATCTCGAATCTCGGGCTTACGTAGCACCAGCACTACTATTGACCACCTGTTCGTGTCCTGAGCTTTGATGCCGTACCTCAGCTCAACTAACTTCATGCACTTGTGGAGTGCATGCCCGAAGACGAAGCACAAGATGCTCTTTCTAATCCAGCAAGCAGGATTCACTCGTTCATCGCTGGAAAAGTGACACAGTGTACAAAGCTACAAATTTGGAACGACAATAATGGAGCTGATGCCAAGGAACGTCGTCAGGACGTTGTTGTCCGAGAGCACTGTTCCAGCAAAGGACAGGATGTGCTGCTCCGGTGGGATTCCCTCCTGCTGTGCTGGGGCTGGAACTGCCTGCTTTACTACAGCGACGCTAAGAGCAGACTTTAGGCCAACCTGAAAGAATGCCTGCATCAGCCGACGTAAACCTTGAGCCCGAAGTCGAACAAATCCTTGAACCATGAGAAGTAGGAAATCCTTGCTGCAGATCTGCCCCTTCACGGCGGCCACCTCGGCGAAGAGAGGTGGGCTTCGTGTTGGGGTCACTTCTACGAGCAGAGCCCGCCTTTGAACCAAAATCGCTTCTTGTTGAGCTTTTTGAATACAAAGTGCGGCAGGCCAAACACTTATCTCGGACGAAGCAGGCATGACTTCCAAGATCATTTTTGATGACCTGGGGGAAGCATTTTCTACCGCCTGCGGCAGACCTCAATTCTTGACGGTGGAGCACGATCTTGAATTTTTCGAACGAAGCACTGCTTGTGCGGCCGAGCAGCTGTGTCGGTTGCCTCCACTTCGAGCGGTGGGCGCTTGCCGGTACAGGTCTTTACAAAGATCTGCATGGCTCGCAAAGGCTATTCGAATTCTGCGGGGACACCTTCAACTTAGCTCCCCTTTAATAACTTGGCTCTAACACTGATACAGAATCCGGAACCAATTCACGTTTCCTTGAATTCATCGCACTTTGCTCCAAGAATCTGGAAAGAAGAGGTGATAAGACTAAACAGGTCTGCTGGCATAGCCATCGCTGGCGTTTTTCAGAAAGGAGAGTTGGGCAGCATGTCTTTGCTCTTCTGGTAAGATGGGTTCGGGCATCGTAAGGTCGAGAACGTTTGCGCTGGTGTACATGAAAACCTGTCGAATCTTGCTGATAGGCTCAACAACTATATCCTTATCTCTCCTGAGAGCCGGAAGGACAGTAGGGAGACCTGAGTCCAAGTCCAGCTGCTACCGAGGGCACCTAGACCAGCTTCGAGGCACATTTTGAAGTGAAGCCCCTTTCTGGGAGATATTGCCAGGTAGTGTGAAGGACTGCAGTCCGAGCAAGTTAGATAAAGCGCAGGAGGAAGGCCAAAGCACACGCTGCTGAGGGACAACGAAAACATCTGCAATCTAGGTCGCCTGGTGAATGTCTCCTGAATACTCCCACAGCCATGTCAGACTCATGTCACAAGCACAAGTGGTAATCTTGCAACCGCTAACTATCAGAGCAACACGTGAAACAACCCCAAGCGGTGCTTATGCTAATGGCAGGGCAGGTCTGCAGTCTGCTTTATAGGCTTCATGGGTTGTCTTGTGACCGAAGCCTCGTACTTCTTCTGAAGCCCTTGCACGTTGACAGCCTGCTGGCTGAAGGCGGCTTAAAGGATTCTTCGCGATTAGGCTTGGACTCTCTCATCAATGGATGGCAAGAAGCTTCCACCAATGCCAAGTAGACTCATGATCAGTAGACTTTAACTTTAAGAGCTATCCGCCCAGTTCTTCCAGAACTGGGCGGATAGCTGTTAAAGTCTAGTCTACTGATCATGAGTCTACTTGGCAGATTAAGCCCTTGATGTTGGGGATGTTGCATTCTCGTCACATCCCGACGATGCAGTCCATCGGCTGTGAGACTGCTAATCGGGTGGAAGCCTTGTAATGGATCTGATCAAACATGAATGCAGTCATTGTAATTCGTCTGGATGCTGCGGATTTGTGCTAGATGCCGGCCACCGGGAAAGGGGCCGTGAGATTAAACCTTACATGATTTGAACAGCATTTACCTCGATGATGTGGATCGGCCTCATCTTAAATTTGCTGCGACATAGAGACGATCCGTGTCGCAATGTCGAAACATCCGCCTAGCCTAAGCTCTGCCTGATGAGATGCCTCATATCACTCCCACCCGGAGAAATGCCCTTGAGGTTGAATTACCCACGTTTAGTCTAATTCTGGGGCCCTGGATTTTGAGGGCCTCAAGCCGTGTCGATCCGGACTGGCAAATCAGCGCAGCCACTGCCTGAAACAGCCAATAACTCGCGGAATCAGGACTGGCTGCTGTTGCTGTGCGCTCGCTCGGCTTGTCCGTCGGCATGCAAGCAAGCCCTATCGGCAGCCATGTCTACTTCACCGAAAACTCATAACCGATGCCCCAGCAAGCGAAGCCACTAAGTTTACACGAAGCCCACTAAGTCACTAAGCCTCATCTTTGCAAGCAGCTGGGGCCCAGTCACAGGTACAAAGTGTGACGGCCATGGCCCAGCGAGCCAGCCGTCGTCGAGGCTCAGGACCTCTCTGCGGAGGGCTCTGACTCATTCATTCACGAACAGCCCTTTGTCTCCCAACCATCCCTCATGTTGTAACGGGGGACGGAGCCTTCGTAAAATGCACACGGGGAACGAGAATGCAAACATTCGGTATGCACAGACTTTGCGCACAACGAATCTGCGGTGGGACCCCAACGCCCCCAACCCCTCTCTTGCAGTGCAAAGCAGTGCACAACCCCGAGACCCGACGATAATCCCAACAGCGCCATAAACCGAAAGTCTCAATGACATCAATGACAACCTGAAACTCAAAGTAATGTAGAATAACTCTGATAAGCTCCATGAAGCTCGAAGGAACCTGATCCCCATTCGAAATGACTTAGGATCCGGAGCCCGGAGATGCTCGAAGCCGCTTTGGCATCTGGTAGCCAACTTCACATATTGACAAGGGATCTTTGACGCTTACCCGTGCTTCTCCTTGGGACCGCCATACCCGGCCAGCTACGTGTGTGTGTGACATACGACGGCTACGGTTATCATCCCTTGCGAATCTCGTTAGATCCCAGACAAGGAGTTGTTCCTTATACTGCTCGAGGCGATGTATTGGGCCTTCGCTGGTGCCCTGCGGCTCGAGTTCCAGGTCCTCCTGTGACGGAATTTTGAGATTTGAGCTTTGAACTTGAGTGTCTCGCCATGGGGCACGCACATCAGCGAGGGGGCTTTCTTTAGTGTTCAGGGGGAGTCTCGTGCTGTGTGTCGCATCAGTTAAACAGGAGCCACTGCTTCTACTGCTACTACTACTACTACTACTACCACCACCACCACTACAACGACGACTGCTACTAGTTACTAGTTGTATCCAATTAGCAACTGTAGCCCACTGACGACTCACTCCTAGCGACTTTGCTACCCCTTCCACCTCTGCCCACCCCCATGACCAGCACTGACCGGCGAACTCCTCAAAGCCCACAAACTTTGAGTGTCTGGCTGCTTCACTCCCGAAAGTTCCTAGTTTTCTTAACTCTGGACTGCTGCAAAGCCAGCTTATTCCAAACCGTAGCTTTTTGAGGAGCTGAAGCAGTGCGCATGTCCAAATCGCCCGCGAGCCCTGTCACTTAATCCAAAGAGACTTGCTGAACCACGGCATTGTCAAGCTGAGAGCCCAACCCCGTAACACTGTCTTGTACACATGCGTATGGTTGCATATGTATTTTTTGGTACTCGCGCTCGACGGCGTCAGGCGAGGATCCGTTATATATGCGTGTATGTGTGTGTCTATATATATATATATGTATAGGTATATAAAGCACACACATCTGTATAAGAAGCACATACATGCACATTTGTCTCATGAGTGGTTTATGTATCAACTCGTCTAGCAGAATACAAACTAGTTCTACCTCATGCATAATATATATATATATATGAGAGAG